GAAAATATTTTGGGAGACTGGATTCCAATAAAAGTGCAAATATGACATTTTGAAGTATATCTGTTTTTGAGAGCAGAGCCATCTTTCAAAAGTTAATTATTGATGTATGGTAATCAGCAATATCTCTTTTACATAAGCTGCTTATTTTTTGGTCATGACTAGCCTTTAAGAAGGTTTACTTTTTTTGAGTTTTTTTAAATCTTGGAATGAATTTCAAGGATTATATGTTCATTTATCTTATGTTCATAATGCTAGCTATCACTTCCCCCTTTGCTTCAGCTGTGTGGGCTTGCTTTCATTTCCTCTCATCACCCTCCTTGTCCTTCCTCAGGGCCTTCCTAGGGTTGTTCTTTTTCCTTTGCCTGCTGCCATTTATTTTATTATTTTTACAAATTGTAAAATATACATGTTATGGGCTGAATTATATCCCCCCAAATTCATGTGGTAAAGCCCTCAGAATGTGAGTGTATTTGGGCCTTTAAAGACATGATTCAGTTAAAATGAGGTCATCTGGGTTGGTCCTAATTCAATATGAATGGTGTCCTGATAAGAGGAAGAAATTTGGACACAGACAGTGGGAGAAGGAAGTTGGAGAAGACAGCCACCAACAAGCCAATGACAGAGGTCTCAGAAGAAACTGACCCTCCTGACACTTTGATCTTGCACTTCTGGCTCCAGTATTGTGAGAAAATACATCTCCATTGTTTAAGCCACCCAGTCTGTGGAACTTTGTGGTGGTGGTAGTCCTAACAAACGAATGTACTACATGAGATAAAATTTACCATTTTAACCAGTGACATTAAGTACATTCGTATTGTTGTACAACCATCACCACCATCCGTCTCCAGAACTGTTGTCATCTTGCCAAACGGAAGCGCCATTCTCCCCTCCCCTAGCCCCTGGAAACCACCATTCCACTTTCTGGCTCTGAATTTGACTATTCTGGGTACCTCATATATGGGAAATCATACAGTAATTGTTCTTTTGTGATGGCTTATTTAACTTTACATAATGTCTCAAGGTTCATCCATTTTATAGCATGTGTCAGAATTTCCTCCCTTTTTATGACTAACATTCTATTGTAGCATGTACCACATTTTGTTTATCAATTCATCCACTGATAGACGTTTGGGTTGCTTCTACCTTTTGGCTGTTGTGAGTAATGCTGCTATGAATATGTGTATACAAATATCTCTTCAAGAATCTGCTTTCAGTTCTTTTGGGTATATATCTAGAAGTGGAATTGTTGGATTATATGGCAAGTCTATTAATTACTACTTAATTTTTTGAGGAAGCCCCACACTGTTTTCCATACTGGCTGTATCATTTTATATTCCCGTTTCTCCACATCCTCGTCAAAACTTGTTATTTCTTTCTTTCTTTTTTTTTTTTAAATAGCAGACATAGAATTTCTGGGTATCAAGGCTTTCAGTGCTAACATATGGCTTTTAATTATCACTGGGTTAAGTCACAGAGAGTCAATTCTCACAGGGGTGTGAAGTGGCATTCAGATGCCTCTTGATTTAGGTGTATCACTTTGGAGGCATCGGAGTTATGGTTGTGAGAGACTGGCAGCCATTTTCATTTCCTATTTGGGCCAGGACTTCATTCCCGTAAGGAACTTTGGGTCTGCCTGTGTGATACAGGACCAGCTATGCCAAATCTTAGGCACTTTTTTTTTTTTTTTTACTAGAAAGACTCAGTGAAATAAATCTTTGCAGAACTAAAGAGGCTAGTAACTTTTTTTCCTTCGGAGCAAATTTGTATTTTCCTGAGTGTTTACAGCTGTGTTTGCATAAAACACTCATGTACCTAACAATTACAGTCCAGTGAGGAAAACGGAGCACGTGAGGCATATTAGGCTTCCGCAACCTCAAAAGGAGGTTGTAGTAAAACACAAGAAGCCTGAGAGACGCACAGGTGCTTCCTGAGGGCCTTTCTGACGTCATGAAAGAGTTACATGTCTAACCGTATATGTTGCATTACAACCGCCTGAAAGATTACAGAGTGGAAGAGCCTGAGTAAGGAATCTTTATAAACATATCCCTTAACTTTAGTTTGTGCGTGAAAATGGAAATGTTTATGTGGGTTTACTTTTCTCCTTGTCCACTTGTGTGGATTTCCCTGCACTCCAACAGCAATTCTCGGTGGCCTACAGTGAGTGGCAAAAGAAACATCGTTCTTTCATTGTGGCTGGGGACTGACAGAGCCACCTGGTCGCACTGGGCGGTCATGTCCCTCCCTCCCCCACCCCCATTGCCATTCTATACTCCAGTTTCTGTAGATGATAATTTCACAGCCACACGTTCACAGCGTTAAGCATTAACAGTAGCATCACAGTGCCCAGTACAATTAATTGTACACACACAGAGCTCATTTTTCTTTGTGCAATCTGTACCCTCACTGGTTTAAGAATTCATAGTAAATATAATTAAAGCTATTGAAAAGCCAACACATATAAGGATGTTTCCCCTATTATTAGCCAGCCTTCAACATCACTGTAATAGTAGCGCTTTGTCTAGGAACCCTGAAAGCTCTGCCAGTGCTTCCTGCGTAGGCTTTGTAAACCGAGATGACCACTCTATCAACGAGGGGGAGGGGGAGGGCGGGCAGGTCATCCCCCAGCAGGGACCCGCTACTCCTGCCTCCTACTGTTTGCCGATTTCATCCCTTTGGGATAGTAAAGCTGGGCCAGGAGTCCACAGCGAACACCAGATGCCTTTCTGTAGGGCTGGTACAAGGAGCAGGTGTCAATTTCATTGCTTTCTTGAGGTGCGCCCCTCCCTCCCTTCCCCCCAGGTCTGTCCTTTTACTTTGGAAGGTCTAAGCTGAGCCTGGGAGGAGTCACTTCTTGTTCAGTGCTTTGGGTGTTTTCTGAAAGCCTTCAAAATCAGTCGTCCTGATCTCGGTTGGTGGGACCTCATCTCAGTCTTCGTTATTCACATAAAATACAGCACTGCCCCTAAAGGCAAAAAGGCAGAAGGCTGGGTTTACCTCACTGTTAATTAACTGATTGATGAGCTGTGTCACGTATGTTTTACAAATAGGTGTAAAAGTCTGCGGTGTGTTGAGAGAACTGTGCTAAGCTCTGTAGAGGTAGGTAAAGCAAATATAAAATGCGATTTCTGTTAAAGTACTAGCCTAGAATGTAAGATAGAAGCAGGGAGCACAGAGAAGATGCCTAACTGGCAGGAGAAAGGGCTGCATTGTGTGGTACAGAGCTTTTGTGCCATGAGGCTCCAGGGAAGGGAGCTGGTCATTAAACCTCTCAGAAGAGGAAATAAAGGCAAAGCAAATGAGGAATACCAGCCCTAGCTGGTTTTGCTCAGTGGATGGAGCATTGGCCTGCAGACTGAGGGGTCCCGGGTTCGATTCCAGTCAAGGGCACATGCCCAGGTGTGGGCTTGATCCCCAGTAGAGGGTGTGCAGGAGGCAGCCGATCAATGATTCTCTCTTATCATTGATGTTTCTCTCTCTCCCTTCCTCTCTGAGTGCAATAAAAATATATTAAAAAAACAAAAACAAAGGACTACCAGGCAGAGAGCTACTTTCTGCACAGTGACTCCTGAGTCCTTAAGCGCCTTAGCCCTTTGGAAAATACATCCTGAGTCTCCAATAGTAGTTAGGTACAGCATTGTTAAAATATATAAATAAATGTTTTACACCTGATAATAGAAGTTATAACTTTTTTTTTTGGTAGGGCAGAAGACTTGTAAAAGACACATAGATACAGATAAAGTAAATTACCCATATTCCAGACACCTCAAAGGAATCCCTGTTAACATTGTGGAATATGCCCTTACTTTTTTTTCTCTCTATGTAATGACTTTAATTATAGTTACTTTGGATTCTCAGACCAGAGGGTGTGCAGATTCTATAAAGAATACATTTTAGTTGGATTCATACAAGATCACTGAACTGGTTATTGTATTGATAATTTTGACCTTCTCTACCTTTAATTTTGTAGTTATTTTGAAAAATTGTTATAACTCTTGGAAAAAGCCCATTTGTTTTCATTTTAGAGTATTTGAAAGCAGATGACCTTCTTTTAAAGAGAATCTTTCCAATGGGTAGACTTTTGGGAATGATAGGAGATGGAGATTTTCTAATAAATTAAATAGAAATTGTGGTTGTTTAATTGTATATCAATAAAACTCTAATATGTAAATATCTTTACAGTCTTATAGTGTTTAATTTTTGTATGTTTTATAGTGTGTTCCCTCCCCCCCCGAAATGATGTGTTTTAAGAAGGAGTATGCATATTTCTTAATTATTAATCTCTTTTTATCATGAATGGAAAATCTATGTGGGCTAAGTTAGTAAGAAAAGAACAATACTAGATGTCAACTTAATTTTTTGATATATGCAGAGCTATAGGTGAATTTAAGATCTTGACCTCTGACAGGTGCATTTGGAACAAGAATTTGCTGGGAAATGGCCTTTTGCACTTAGGGAAGAGCCTGGCTTTTGAAGTATATTTTCTGATCTGTCACTATTATATTTGCTCTGTCCATTTGTGCCAGACCAGGAACGCTAACAGTGGGGATCTGTGTTTTGGAAGAACCTTAATGAATTCTCTCTGTTTTGGAAGTTGTTACTGCCCATAAAACTACAAAGTAGAGTATGTGCCTTTTGACTGATTGAGGGGTCTTAACCTTTTTGGAAATTGATGGTTCCTTGCTATGGTGTTTTAAAAGGCATTGTTTTTATGTAATGTCTAGCTGCCCTAGTTCTATAGTATCTCTTTCTTCTTTCTTTCTTTCTTTCTTTCTTTCTTTCTTTCTTTCTTTCTTTCTTTCTTTCTTTCTTTCTTTCTTTCTTTCTTTCTTTCTTTCTTTCTCCCTTCCCTTCCCTTCCCTTCCCTTCCCTTCCCTTCCCTTCCCTTCCCTTCCCTTCCCTTCCCTTCCCTTCCCTTCCCTTCCCTTCCCTTCCCTTCCCTTTCCTTTGTAGTTCAGAGACTGTTTGACTCAGGGACCAGACAGTTTAATGAGAATATATAAGATTATAAAGAGGAGTGATGAGGACTGTGATAGATTGGAAAATACCTCTTAAAAGGCAACGAAAAAAAGCAAAAATCAAGATACATTGTAACAGCCAAACAGAGAGTCAAATTTGGCCGGAAGCTTACCAACGTATGTTTGTTTATGCCAGTTATCTCTGTAACAATAGCAGTAGGAGAGGAGCAGTGTAATGACAGTAGAAATCGCTAACAATTTCTGACAGCTTACTCTGTGTCAGGCACATGCATCATCTCCTTCTGCCCCCACAATAAAATAAATACTCTTACTATCCCATCTCAGGATAAAACGGAGGCTTAGAGAGGTTATTTGCCCGCGTCCCAGAGACAGTAAGTGGCAGGGTCAAAGCCAGGTTTGTCTGACTCTGGGTCTTGAGCTCTGTGATGTGTTTTGATTTTAGGCCACAGAACTTGGAATTGCATTGGGTAGGAAGAAAATCGCCAGGCAGTGGTTAAGCTACTCAGTGTTGGCACCGGCCAGCTTTGTGACCTTGGAGGAGGCAGCCAAGCCTGGGAGAAAGGGCAGTGTTCTTGGTCCGAGAGGAAGAGGAAACGGCAGGATCAGGTCTTTAGCGGCGTGGCCAGGCTGGAGAGAAGTTTTCACCAGGTGCCTGGGGAGGGGATTAAAGAGAGAAATAGTTCCCGTGAGGTGCACACGGTGTGCTTGGGAGTGTGGGGTGTGTGTGGCATGTAGAAGTGGAAAATCAGACCCAATGGAAGTTCAGTAGGAGCTTGTAATGTAGGTGTTGGCAGATGTGGGTAAGGGCTGCGGGGATACTGTGTACCCTTGATTTAACAGTGCATGAGGGACTAACTGGAGTTGTAGAATAAAGAACTAACACGTATGGGGCCTGAGATTTAACCCAGGGCTTCCTGTTATAATACGCTTTAAAACTAAGTGAGGTTTTCGGCTCGGTGGAGGGGACAGACTTCTCTCCGCTGTCTTTTGTTCAGTTGTCTCAGCAGGCTCCCACTCACTGGCCTCCGAGTGGGTTTTCTGGGGCATAGTGGATCTCTATCAGGCTCGCTGGCATTTCCCGTGATATTTAGTAGAAAGAGAGTCATAAAGAAAGAATCCTGACAAACCCGAGGTGGTTGAATTAACCAGCACAACCCAAATATTCGACTGTTAACACAGCACCTTTCAACAAACAAGCCACTGACTTGTTGCGCACTGTAGCTCTCAAAGCCTCTCTGTCTAAGTGACTCGAACTCAAGGAAATGAAAAGTAAAGCCAGGCTATTCCTAACCGGCAGCACGTGGACATGAACCTTAGGAAACAGAGCAGCCTCTGTGAGAGGCTCATCTGCATAAACCTCACAGGCCCCTAAAAATAATTTTTAAAATTATATATGAAAAAAATTAAAGGGCTATATCTTGACTCCCTTCCCCCTCCCCCCCGGAAAATGTGAATATACTATTTAAAAAAAAGATAGGTTAAGATTGATGAATAGAGTTTGCTTTCTGCAGCCTGAAGACTTAAATAGACACTGAAGGAGGAGGAAGCAAACTTAGTTGCAAGAAACCTAATACCTCCTAGAAGAAGGGGGGCAGAGGTGGGACCAAAAATAGAGCAAGAGTTGGGTCCAGGGAAAGCCCTTTTGTTGAGTTGTTTCATTGGCTTTAAATGATCACTTTCCTAGAAGCAATAAGAAAAACTGGTCCCGTTTGTTTTCACAGAGTTGGGGAGAAAATACTTATGTAAGCAGCTCCTGTTTGCAATGTTTCCATCTGGAATATCATTTAAGAATTTGGCCAGATCTCAAGTGATTTATGTTTAGTAAACAAGATTATCCTCAGCTTCCCACTGCGAGAGAGCACATGGTTTGGGGTTTAGTTGCTGTTTTGCAGCCTCTTTTAATTGCTTGTGCAAGGTAATACTGCACTAACCTCCGTTATTTCTCTCCAGTGTTCGGGTTGTGACAGTGGTTTCTGAAGCAAGAAACCAGAACAGTGGTTGACGTTAGAATGGCTTAAAGTATGACTCTCCTTGTAGAGCTACCAAAACTATACCTGTTTCTTAAGGTTGGTGGGGGTAGTGTGGGGGGGGTGAGGGGAAGGAGGAATGGCTTTTGCATAAACTTGAAATTCAGCTCCTTTTCATTTTTTTTAGGAAAGATACCCTTAATTTTATGGACCAATGAAATAAAGGGAATCTCGGGTCAGCTCTTTTGAATGCTTAGGATTTTTCATTTCTTAAGAGTTTACTTTTCCCCCTAATATGGGAAAACATTTCTTACCAAAACGGCGGTTATGTAGTGAAAAAGGACATTTCTTTTTGATGTTTGAGGATATATTACTATGAAAATGGGAATACTGATGCATTATTTTTTCAAATGTGGACACAATGTTGATGCTTTAAGTTTAAATTAATTTTTATGGGTCCCCTCTTAAATTCTTCTAATTATTAAGTTTCAATATTTATGTGAGAGAGGTAAGCATTTTAGCAAAGAAATGATCATTTTATTCTGCAAGACAAAATATAGTAATGAAATGTTTCAGAGCATAAAGTTTGGAAAACCATATATTATATATTTCAGATTCACTGCAGATAAAAATAGTTACATCTAGTTAGTAAGTATTCTCCTATAGTAACCTCCTCAAATACCTCTTCCTAAATTTTGAATTGAAGGTCTCTTCCTAAACTGGTTATGTTAATACTTTGAGTTTCATATCTTACACACAGTGCAAACCAAGCAAAAGATAAAATGTATAGAGGTCACTCTGCCTTTCAGATTCTTTCTATTGCCTATTTTGAATCAGATTCTTAAATTGTTCATGATAGCTTGGCAGCAAGCCATGCACTTGTCATTTTTAGCTCATTAGAGTTAAGTCTAGTCCTGTCAGGAACAGGTTTACTAGTCTTTTTTTAATTGCCTGCTTAAAAATTTTCATTTCCAAAAATCAGCTAAAGAATTTAAGATGGTGATAAGTGTGGACTGAGGTCAAGTAAAAATTCTGAGCACATCAGGAATTCACTGCAGAAGGGAAATGCAGAGATGAATGCGTTTAAGGCCCTTGTGGAGGAGCGAAGGATTGCTGAAGCATTCGTATCTAGAGGAATGGAACACGGTTTAAATTGTGTGGTTGTGTAAAAATGTAGATGGTGTTTATTTGACTAGTATATATAGTTTTTGTGTTGTTTTTTTGTTTTTTTGCATTTAAATGTGCCACCTATTCTGGGGAATGGGAGGGTAAGTATTCGAAGGATGTGGAAAAACAGATGAAGACAAAGTGGGATGTAGAGCAGACAAGAGAGAGAGGGATGTCCCAAAAGCCAAAAATAAAGAGACCTGGAAGGAGGGGAAACAATGGAATGTGCTCAGGGGTGACACCAGGAAAATCTACATAGAGAGGAAAAAAGGCTGAAAAAGAGGTGAAGTGAAGAGACCTTTAGGAAGAGGCAGGAAGAGAAAACGTTGGTGTTGAGTGGAATAATGTATACCTGCACCTCTGCGTATAGGAGAGGCCAAGTTTCCCAGCAAATGGCCAGGCTCATTTTGTTGATGTGCCCAGCAGTCTGAGGTGTGGTGAGCGTGGCACTCATTCTTCTGACTGTGTAAGGGAATAGGTATGGGAGAGGATGTGGTGGATGTGTTAGCCTCCAGGGGTATGTTTGGGGCCATAGCAGTTTGTGCATGACCTTGAAGTGGGAGGAAGACAGTAGTGGTTGGGATTGTGTAACTGACTGAGCAATCTAGTTGAATCAAATCAGAGCAGCCTAACAGGCCCATCTCCTTTCTCTTGAATCATTCCTCGCCTGGACGACTTGGGAATGGGATTTACTTTGTAATACATGAGGGTAGGACTGACCATGAAGAACTTAGGATGTGTGTCGTTAGAACCCTCCTCTTGCTTCCTCTGTCCTCTTCCTGGGGTTCATCATGGGTTCACATTGTTCCCTGACAGGTCCCAATTGGCTGGAAATATCCTATATAATAAAGATGTAATATGCAAATGGTTGTTACGCTGTGAAGCGTAATGACTGACCGTGTAACGACCGGATCACGGATCAGCAGGAGGGTGGGGCAACGAGCTACACACAGGCAGCAGAGAGCTACAGGAGCGGGCAGGGCAGCAAGCTATGCGGGGGGTCGGGGGGGGGTGGGGGTGGGTGGGTGGAGGGAGCTACAGGAGGGCAGCAGCAAGCTACTGGCGAGCTACTGGTGCACGGATTCGCGCTCCGGGCTACTAGTATTTCATATTCTGAATCTTTCTTGATTTTCTTTCCACTTATCAAAACTTACCCATTCACTTTCTGGTGTCCTTATTCTCTCCCAGTAACTGGAGCTAATTTGGTAAAAACCTTCATTCTCTTGTTCAGAGGTAATATACAGCCCCTTCTTTGTTATATGTTTGTATTCAAAAGAAGGATTCACAGTATGTTGACTCAAAGAGATGGTGGCATTTTGGGCAAGACTTTGGGTAAGTAATAAGATGGTGATATTACAACAGAGTCTTTATATGCATATTGTACTCATGGGAATTAAACTCACGCACGTGGCTAAAAGAAAAGAAAAAGGGTAAGAAGTAACAATTGAAATAAGATGAGCATAGTCCTACAGTGAACATGAGATGGGAGATATGAGCCTGCACTTTGTAGGGAGATTGCATTTCCTCTCAGAGCTTGAGCATTGGGTTTAACCGCACGACCCATAAAATGCAAGTGGAATCCTTTGATATTTACCTGAGGAGTTAATAGTCTTGCCCAAATGGCTGGGAAAACTAGAGTTAGTGAGAGGCAGTATAGTGTTATATTTTATGAGGAATTTCAGGGCATTTTCAAGGATAGTTTTAACTGTTTGTGATTGCTGCCTTGAGTTAGACTTTGGACTCTAAGGTAGTTCCCTGTGCCATTAGGTATGACTTTACAGTGTTGATTGGCTGAGAGTAGTTCTTTTCAGGGCTCCTGTAAGCTCCTTTTGAGATTTCAGACTGTGTGTTGTTGTTCATTATTGCTAAAGGAGCTCAGAAAACATTTTGTTGAATGAAATAATGAATAAATAACACCTCTGCCTGGTGCTCTATCCATCACCCATGGCCCCTAGAACAGATATGAGTGGGGGACATCCTGGTTGCTTTGGTTTGGAAGAGATGGGTCTTGCTGAACAGTTTAGATCATCTGTTGGAATTGGATTGCAAGGTACTGACTTATCGAGATGGTTTTTTTTTTTTTCCTGAGCATGTGGCATCATGTGCTGTATCTCATGGCATCACCATGGTATTTACTGAAAATACCATGCAAGGTGTTTCTGCAAGGTGTCTGCTTGACAGGGCAAGTTTAAGTAAAGATAATCACCACTAGAGTCTGTTGGGTTTTGTATGCCATTTACAGATGTTCAGTTGCTGCCCTCAGTGAGTTTGGAAGCTCTCGTGTATGATACCCAGATCCTCATACCAGACACAAGTGTGATCTCACTGCTAACCACGCATTCTGGTGCTATTTTTAGTGTTTTGTCAGCCTCCTGGGCCAGTTTGATATTTTTATATTTTGAATGTGCCAGTCAACCTTTGTTGTATTTAATGGAATCACAGAATTAGAGGGACTCAGAGAGGTAATCAAATCCAGTGTTCTTTAAATTTTCTTTCCCTCAAAGGGACAGTAAAACCACTAATATAATTTATGCCAACATGTAAATCAGAGAAAAACTGAACTTCCAGTTCAGAGAGAGACTGAAATGGGAGACCAAAATCCTCCTTTATTTCTCTACTGCCTGCCCATCCCAACCCTCGAGGTATCTGGATATGACATCGGGGCTCTGTGGAGCTCAATTTGAAAACCACAGCTCTGGAGTCATGGGAGTTTTCCCAAATGTTAAATCTTCCTAGCACCAATTTGCTTTTTATTGCTTCCTGAGAGCAAAACTTTAAAACAGAACTGCTCAGAGTTCTTCCTCTGCATTTCTCTGCGTGCAACACTCACCAGTCATCAAGAAGCTTATTGGGTTTTGTGAATGTGCAGCCCAACCAGTGTGCACCCTTAGGAACCACAAGTAAGAAGATGAGTTGAGTGACTGAGTGGCATCTGATGGAGACTATGATATTCTCAAGAAGTTGGGATGTCCTATACAGCGTAGGCTCTCATTGTAGAGATCTGATTCTCAAAGTATGTTCCCCTGACTAACAGCAGCAGCAACATCTCCTAAAACTTGTTAAAACACAAATTCTTGGCCCTACTACAGACCTGCTGAATCAGAAACATTGAGGGTGGAGCTCAGCAATTGTATTTAACAAGCTTCTCTGTAATTCCGCTGCCCATTAAAGTTTTGAGAACCACGGGTGTTGGAGAACAGGATGATAGCACCAAGTGTTGGCTGCTTCCCCCTCCCCCTCCTCCCCCCTTTCTCTAGCAGACTTCTTGCTTTGCTATGGAAATTTGGTTTTCTTGATCTTATGTGAAATACTAAGCAACTTAATCTTAAAAAACAAACAACAAAACCCCCTAGGTCTGCCTTTTGATTAGATTACCATCTCTTGGTCCCTTTTATATGGAGATTCTGAAGCTGCCACTGGATGTACATGGACACTATTTTTAGGTGTTGCAAGTGTGGTTGCTTCTGAAAGGAAGTGATTTTCTGCTTGACCAATCAGAGCCTCATTTGTCTGAATACTGCTGAGGTAACTCAGAATCAAAGACCTTTCAGCTTCTCTTCCCGGTGAGAGTGTGAGGGAGGATTTCCCAAGTGTAGCCCCCAAGTAATCATGATCATCTCCATGTTAACATTGTAAACCAGTTTATTTTCTCTGTGTCTTTCTGATGAACCAGACAGTCACTCGGCAGTCTGGAGCTGGGGATTCCTAATGTAAGATCCAAGAACCACCCTTGATAACAGACAAATAAACTTGCTTGTATGAATGGATGTGACTTTTTGTGGATAGAAGGTCCATAGTTTTCATCAGATTCTGGAAAAGAACTCTGCACCCCTCTACCCCCTCCCCCCCAAAAAGCTGATTGATTATTGCTTTAGCTGCTTTTGA